TGTTATAACAAGGAAAACATTTTCTGGATTTACGATAATGACATGAATATGATCTCATGAATGGAATGCTACTACTTAGAATGAGAACCAGTGATTCCATAAGCTCATATCAATTTCAAACTCCACATATTGAATACATAACATCAAGATAGAAGTTGAGGGTTGTAACGGGGCTAAGGGTAATGGTTTAACAAAGAAAGGTAAAGTAAAACAAAGGTTCTTAAAGTAATAGGAAGCGAAGTAATGAAATTGACACTTAAACTCACTTTTAATGGCAGAAATCAACTTTTAAACACAAGGAAAATTCATGCAACAACTAGGGTCAAATTCACTCTTTTGGACCCTTCCTTCAATAACCAATGCTTGTGAGATCATTCTCACTTATTTTTCAACTCTTTTTTTTTTCTTTCTTTTCAACAATTTTTTTTTTCTTTATTTCATTCTTTGGCCGTGCCCTATTATCTTCCCCCACACTTATTTTCTGCAGTATATTGGTTAAAAGGAGTTCATTCTAAGTCATGCTTCACTATCCTTTAAGAACAAGGGGTTAACAAAGAAAATAAGCTTGAAAAGGCTCAAAAGGGGTAATCCTACAATACATGTGAAAAGGGATAGGCTTTTTGGCTTTGGCTTGACTAACAACTTCATCTTATTGTATGTTATGCAATCAATATCATGCTTTGAATGAAACGGATATAAGTTCGAGCATTTAGTTCTATCATGATACAATTGCATTCTAAGTAGCAACCAAGCAAGGAATAATGAGATCATGCAACAACTTTAGAAAATACAGAATCACAGAAAATAACTCTCCAAAGAAGGTAATGGCTCGAGTCTCACAGGGTCGTAGCGTTTGTTTGAGTTCCTTCCTTCAAGCATGTTACAAAAACGAATTTTTCTTTTATGATTGCATGTGAAGTCATACATTATAACCATAACCAAGCATATACCAAGAGTAAATCAAACTTTCATCTATGTTTATAACTCTTTTTAACAGTCATGCAATTACAAACCAAATCCTTATTATTGTGTTGGAAGGTACCCTAAGACATAAACACACAAAAACGACTCAAAACACTCTTTTTAGGCTTTTCAAAACATGTTTTTTTTTTCAAATTTTTATGTGATTTTCGGATTTATAAAACAAAACATACTAAAACACTCTAAAACAACTTAAAGACACCTTAAAACAACATGGAACAACATTTGAAGTTATGGGTGATAAAATCCCACGAATTTGCATCAAAATAAACTTAGTTACCCCCCCACACTTAAATCAAATATTGTCCTCAATGTTTTAAGCATAGATTCACACAAAACATAAGAAAACACACAAAAAACACTTAAACATACTAAACATAGCAGAATGTAACTAACAAAGAGAAGAGTTTAGGGACGCAAATCTGGTTATGGAGTGTAAATTCCCTCTTCTCCTTGGTGATTGCATGGGTTGATCTTGATGATTCCACAGGCTTACTCTTGAACTGGTTTCCGCCCATCGTTGATTTTCCTTTGTGCTACTCTTGAACTGGGCAGCAGGATTCCCTTTAGTGTCTCCCCCGAAGGTCTGAGCTTCCTCCTGCTATCTGTTTCTTTGTTCAATCTTTGCAGGAGTGGTCCCTTCTCTGGAAGTGTATCAACCGTTGAAGATGACTACTCAAGAGCAACGCTAGGTAAGCAACCAGGAATAAATTCCAGGCAGTCGGAACCAGATCGGAAGACTGACTCCAAGTGCCGGCTGATTGCTTCTTTCACTTTGCCATGCGAGTAAGAACAAGGACAAAGAAAAGGACAGGGAAATAGCATGATATGAGATACTTTTGCTTTTGACCTTGATGATATGAGATACCTTTGCTTTGAAGAAGCGATGAATGAATCAGCACATGCTTCAATCCGCCGTTTCCTCCTGGGTCATATGTACTCCAGGCATCTGGTATCATCTTTGGGGAAGAAGAAAGAATTGAGTATTTTGAAAGGCTTTGCTGGGAGTGCGCCCTCAGAGGTGAGGGAGAGTTGTGCATTTTTCTTCAGGTTTGCCTTGCCATAAAAGACGAAGGTCGACATATATAGAGATAATATCAAGTGATGGTATTGTTCTTTTACCCTTGTCGACAAACGTTTTGATCCCGCAAATCCGGTTTTTTGAATTAGTGGCGCCTCTTCGATCTTTGAAAACGCCTCTTCGATTTCTGAGCAGACGCCTCTTCGATCTCTGAACGACGCCCCTTCGTTTTCTGAACGACACGTAGTAGTGCGGATGCGGCTCTTTTGACAAAGCTGCACGCGTTTTCTGAAAAGCAGAGAAAGCGTTGCCGAACTTTGCGCTTGTCGGCTAAAGATGTGTAGTTGCGATGATGGCCTCCACGTGTTGTCTGAAAAGAAGAAATCTTTTGACAAAGTTGAACGCGTCTTCTGAAAAGCCGAGAAAACGTCGCCTAAATTACGCCGGAAATTCCGGCTTTTTGAATCGGTAGACGCGTCGCCTTGGGTTTTTATAGAGCTATAGATCACCACAACAAACACACTCTGAAGAATTCCCATTCTTGAAAATCTACTCCGGCCCTTTGAGAATTAACTCTATCCACCCCATCTCTTTGAACACTTTTGAAAAATGGCAAACCCATCGAACCTTAGCTTAGAATTGAGTCTCAGCAGTGATACGGGCACGCCGCGTCAAGGTAACGTATGGCGCCCTTCTTTCTTATCTTCTAACGGTCCTCTCACAGGTGAAGACTCCGTGATGCAGGACGCCACAACAGCTACAATAGTAGCTAGGAACCTCCTCACTCCAAAGGATAGTAGGCTGCTGTCAGGACGGTCCGATGAGTTGGCCGTTCAAGAGTCCCTCTCACTTAGTGTTCAGTGTGCGAGTTCTGTGTCCAACATGGGCCAACGCCTGCTTGCCCGCTCCCGTCAGGTGGAATCATTGATGGCAGAGGTGGAAAGTCTTAAGCAAGAGATCCAGCAGCTTAAGTACGAGAATAGAAGTTTGCACGTGCTTGCAAACAACTATTCGACGGGCATGAAGAGGAAGCTTGATGAACTGCAAGAGTCTGAAGGTCGGATTCAAAGCGATCGTCAAAGGTTTTCTGCTTATCTCCAGAGGCACCTTTTTCCTGGCTCATCCAGCGTTTGGCCAAGTATTGAGGCCTGGAATGCTCTAGCTCCGATGCCTCCCGCTCCGATGCCTTCCGCTCCTATGTCTTCTGCTCCGATGCCTTCCGTTTCGATTCTTATGGCTTTTATTGTAATTAAGTTGAGGCACTTTGGCTCTTCAAACTTAAGGTACTTATCAAGGAACTTCATGTCCTAATCTTGAGGATCAAGGGACTTCATGCCCGATCTTTTTGTTTGATGGAATTTCAGGTCCAATCATTTTTTATTTGATGAGGATCAAGAAACTGCAGGTTCTGATCTGATCAAGGAACTTCGGGTCCAGTATGTACTTATCATAACAAAAAAAGTACAATAAATAAATTAAAGCAATAGGCGGTAATTCCAGCCATAATGAATAAATTGCATTTAAGTAAATAAAGCTTGTGACAAGGGCTTTAATTCAGCACCATTCACATAAATCAAAACTTAAAGCAGTAGGCGGTAAAACCGTCCATGATAAATAAATTGCTTTAAAATAAATAGAACTTGTGAAAGGGTTTTAAACCAACACCAATTCACATAAATAAGAAGAAGTATCATACCTCCTTTTATTTATTATTTTTTTTTCTTTTGTCAGCACTTATTCAAACCTTATTATTGTTACTTTTCTTATTTCTGCAGCATGATGCCATAAACCAACAAAAACCATTTATATTATGTTGACCAAATGGTGTCATGCACCATTCAAATCCTTTTATATATATTTTTCTTAGGTTGCAGTCAACATCCTTTTTTTTTCTTCTTCACATGTGCCTTACCATTCCATCAATTTCCCTTTTCTATTATTTTTCTTCCTTCTATGTCTCTGCTAGTCTCGAAACGCAGGGCCAACGGGGTAGTTATGGAGGTTGCTCAAATTCAATTCAATCCAAAAGGCTACTAGAAACTGGCGTTGTTCTTGCATGACCCAAGGAACATGGCATCGTTAAGCAAGTACCTCCCTATAAAGACATAAATGACAGTGGGGTTGACGGAGGCACAAGAGAGGGAGCCCTGTGTGGATTCATTATTGCCATCACCATCTTAAACAACCAAATATTCATGAGAGTTCTCAAGATCCGTCGAAAACAACGTGATTTGGGTTTCCAAGTCTGATGAGATTCTTCTGGATCTCTGGAAACCAGTTGTCAGGTACGAGTTTTCTCATCTCGTGATGACTTCAGGTCGTAAATTTCAATTCTCACCGGAATTCGGTGGGGCGCTTCTGGCGCAGTGGGAGAGACGAAAAATGGACATACCTTTTATTCTGTGAGATTTTAGATGACGGAGGTGAGAGGTGGATAGTGCTTCATCGGATTTATGGCGTTATACTTTCCACTGACATGAGAGCTTTCGTTCTGATAACGTGTTGTAAAATCGACGATGTGTGTACAGTGGAATAAATAAAACAAGACACAAAATTTACGAGGTTCTCTACAGTCAGTGTGACTGCAGTACGTCCTCGGGCATCAGTAGTGCTTTCATTATAATTTGAATAATAAGAGTACAAATATAACTCTATTTATTCTCTCCTCTCCTCTTCCTCTCTTTCTTTCTCTGCTCTATCTCTTTCTCTCTGTGCTCTGTATTGAAGACATACGAAGTGCTCTATTTATAGAGCAACTCCAAGCACACATCTTTGACAATATAACTTCCTTCACCTCCCAAGTCAAGATTAATTTTATAGGCATTGAAAACTTCTATCAATGTTGAAAACTTCTGCCAAATTACTGTGGGTATTCATTACCCACCAGACTTTTCAACAAATCTTGCATTATTTATTAAAATACTAAGTTTTTGAAAGACCGGAATAAATTATGTTTGACTCGACCTTGGAGATCTTAATTGTCGCACTCGCACTCGCACTCGCAGCAACTCAGCAACTCAGTCTCAACAAATCAACATCTCCTCATCGTCATCCATCTCTCCCTCGCTCGCACTTTCTTTCTCTCTCTATTTTTAAGCGTCTTAGGAAAGAGAGAGACATTAATTTTCAGTTTCAGTGGATGAGATGAGATGAGAAACTGTGGATTAGATTGGATTGGAGTTGGAGGTAATTATTAAAATCCAGCTCTTATCCTATTTGTAAATTCAATTTAATTCGGGTGTACCCCTCTCTCCGTGTCTCAATTGAGGATAGATTCCTTTGTTTCTTTTTTTGTTGGATTTGTTTCCTATATCTTCTACTCTGTAGTCAGGGAATCTCATCCATTCATCATCTTCTAGTTGTATGTGGGCAATTTTCGACGACTAACTCAAGAAAGAAATTACATAAATGAGCCATGTCGATACCAAAGGAGCCGGAGCAGGTGATGAAACTAAGAGGAGGATCAGTGCTGGGCAAGAAGACCATTCTCAAGGGCGACCACTTCCCTGGCTGCCAGAACAAACGCTTGTCTCCCTACATCGATGGTGCTCCCAATTACCGCCAGGTCTTTCTTTCCCTCTTGCTCCTCTTAAAATTAACCACCAACTTTGGGTTCATTCCTTGTTTTGATTCAATTTAGGAAGCACTTGTTTGTTAGACCGGCCACTGAATCTAGTGGTTGATTTTAATGCTTCAATTCTACAATCTTACATCGCATATATTGACAAACACGTACTTACCACTTACAACTTCACTTGCGTTGTCACCAAAATGTATATTGTCAACAAAATGTACATTGTCAACAAAATGTACATTGTCAAGTAGTTGCCTCTTCAACCACGTACATGCATCATGTTCTCAGGTATATAAATCTGTCCGTAATCAGGTTCAACATATTTTCATTGTAGCATCCTCAATGCATCGTGTTAATGCAACTTGAGTTTTACATGGAAACTTCTCTAAATCACTCTCAATTGTTTCACGTCATTTCCCTTCTCATCACTTTCCGTTGTTTGATTTGTTTTCCTTTCATATTTATCCTCTTGGTTTATAGGCCGATTCGCAACATGTTCATGGTGTTGCCATTCCAACAATCAGTGGAATCCAGAATGTTCTTAACAATATTGGAGCTCAACATATTGATGGGAAGCGAGCACAAGTTCTTTGGATTAACCTTTGTGAGGAGCCGGTAAATTAAATGTTTCCATGCTATTTCTACCTGTCACTGTTTGATTTCTTTCTTTCCTATATTGAAAGTTTGCACAATACAATTGGTGCAATCGACTAGCATCATATTTAAGTTATAAAATATGCATCATATTTTTTACTGTTAAGAACCAAAATACTAAATTATTGTAGGAAATCTTGTTTTCAGAATATAATAGTGATCAAGTATCAACATTTTAATCTCGAGTATGTTGTCGCACGATTTGGAACTAAATACAGTTTTGCGAAGTCAATATTGAAAAATATTTTATAAACAAGAAACCTAAACTATAAATTTATAGCTATTGACAATCAAAAGCTAATGAGCTCAACTGTTTTTGATGATATTGTGCCTATACATTAAGTAATAGCTCTTGGTTTACATCCCCTCACCGATCCCGTAGTAATTATAGCATTCAATGTTGCCCATTATGCCAACTGGTGTTTTCTGCAAAAGTTGTCTTTCATAGTCTGGGATGAATTTTCCTGACACTTTTTTTTTTTTTTTAATGAAATGAAATGTTATTCATATGACAATATAATTACACAAGTGGACAAGATGTCAGTAAAGAAAAGCAGAAAACAATCAACGAGACGTCAAACAAAGTCCCCATAAAATTGAAAGAGCTATGAACACTCCATAAATCTAACTGAATACCATAATAAAGACCATAAATGAACTTTATCCCACAACATCTGTCTTCTGTTACAAAATACTGTTTTGGTAGACCGTGTATTGCTGCCTAATTATTCGTATATGGTGGGGCAACCTTTTAAAGAATCTGAATCTGACTTGTAAAGGATGGCAGAAAACTGTAAGGTTAATTGTGCGTCCTGGATCTGACTTAAATTATTTAGGTGGTTTAGAGGATGGTTTGGTGTGGAAAAAAATTTAGGGTTTTCAAAGCAGGAATTTCTCGGTTCTTTTTTTTTTTTTTTTGGGGCTGAAAAAAAGGTGTTCACTGTAGACTCAAGTATGTATATGAGCCTAAAGGGTTTATCATTTAGACAGACATGGACCTAAGTTGGGATACACTCCCTCACAGAGACCAACCCTTCATTATAGTTCCATTTAGTTATAGTTGTTTTTTCTGACAGGGTTAAATTAAGGCGGAACAGTATAGCTTTATTCCTTGAAGTCTTCTTTGATGCTGCAGGACTCATAGTTGTCCTAGAAATTCAAGGGTTTCATATTTTGTACTCTTTGCTTTTGTTGAAATTTTGAAAAGAAAGGGAGTGAGAGCTACTTAGTACGTTTAAGCATATCTGTATGGATTCAAATCAAACTGGCATTTAAGTCCTTGGGGCAAACCCAAGTGGTGAGGGAGGGTGCGAAACTGGCTGGCTTTAGGATAGGTTAAACACGTAGATGCCCCTTTTAGTTAATAGAATTTGATTTGGCAATACTATTTCCTTTTGGACTGGACTAATTACTATAAAACGTTTGCTGCAGTGTTCTTCAAAGAAACTAGATAAACTTTATATTTCTGTTCTCTTTTTGGTGTATATTCAAAGTGAACTATAAGCAGGTTTTGAATAAGAATAATAAAATACGTTAATTATGGAGAATCTCTCTTCCCTTAATTTGGAGATTGGAAGGTGGCTACCTTTTAGTTTGTGTTAGGAGTTTTAGAGCCCTTCAGTGCAGCGTAGTTTGCTTTGGGGTGGTCTGCTTCTCCACCACTTCTGTATTTGCTGCCTCTTTCTTCTTTAGTATAATTGTTTCTTTATAAAATAAAAAGTAATGATATACAATAATATCTTATTTTAAATAGTGAAACTATAAAATGAGATTCTTTTCAAAAGATATAGTGAAATTACTCTTGGTGAATAACATTATAAATTTTGGAGGTTGAAAGATGGTGTGCACAACCCACAAATTAGTTAAGAATACTTTCAATTCACTTCAAGAAAATGATTTATTTATCATTCCAAGATGAGAATACATATCCCATAAGCAATACACAGATTAATTGTCGTAGCCAAAACAGTAAACACATTACAAAGTATCAAGCCAATACAAGAAATACATGTTTTTGTTCACTGTACAAAATTTCTGAAATTGCATTTTTGACAACATAATGAATGAGTGAGAACACTCTGTTAACTCTGCTCCTAACAGTGTAATGCATAGTTAAATCAATGACCAATCAGTTGATCCAAAGAATGAGAATGTTGACTGTACAGATCATATCGGTCTTCAGATTTACGGATATATCTACGGATATCTTGAGATTCCTCTAAATATCTGCCCTAATTTATGGTTTAGTAGATGGGTAGCTTAATTAGTGCTTATTTGGTTTTGATTTTGATTTGATTTGGTTAGGGATTTAGTGCACTTATTAGTGTTGTGTGGAGGGATTTAAAACACTTATACCATATCATTCTTTCTTTTTCTTCCTCTTTCTTTCTATTTTGGTTCAAGATCAGTGCAAATCTAGCATTTTTGCTCTGTTGGAGGCTGATAGTGGGGATATCTCGCGATTATAGGTAAACATGTGGCAGTATCCGGTCGACAATAGAAGAAATTGCTTCACCCCTACTATTAGTTTCAGTGTCTAGAGAAAAAGATTCATCAAGGGAAAATATCATCCAAGCGGCAATCCTTGGTTCTAAGTTCTTACATCGATTGTTCGACGGTAGGCAGAACATCTTTCATCTTTTATAACACAATTGAAGGAAATTACATGAACTTTGTCAATAAAATTTCAACACTAAACATTTAGAACTTGGATAGTAGTAACTCTTATAACAGCACCAGAAATTTGATAATGTTTTGATAACAATTATGAATGCAGGTGCGACATAGTACATGGCATAAGCAAAATGAAGAAATACACACCATTTTGATCAAAAACCTAAAATCATAATTGTTATGCTGCCTAACGTAGGCAATACCACAAATCTGTGAACTCAATTGACACAGCGTAGAAAAGAAAAACATTAACGCTGGATAGGCTTTCGGACCTTGTGATTCCAAACTACCTTCGAACAAAAAATCCAACAAAATCCCCGGAAAATGCCAAGAAAAATAAATAAATTAAGCCCACTCCTAACAAAAATAAATTATGCATAACATTGAAGTTCCAAACATATTGACTGAGCAAAAGCCTTTCGAATTTGACCAAAATTATCCAAACATTTATCTGTTTCCCATCATAGAATAAATAAGCTAAAGATACAGATCCAAATCAAAGAAATAGTAAGAAATTATACAAAGTTTTCACTAGAAAGAAATATATAGAGGATGGAAGAATCCCAACAAAAACATGTGAGAATTGGAACAGACACCAAAGAGGGACAAACAGAGTAAGAGAAAGCTAGGGCTTGAAAGGAATGAATTGTGGAGAGATACTTCAGACTGAATGAGTTGAAGTCTTGTACCATAAGCTGGGTCTGTTGGTTGTATCAATTGGGAAAGTTTCCTTAAGCCCCAGTTTTCTCAGTGCCGTGTAAACCCACCTCTCCTCACTGGTCAACCAGTTAATCTTTTTGTGTATGTGAGTGTATGTTTTTCTTCTGTTTTTTAAGGAATTAGATTAGCCATCTAGTCCAAGATGTTTCCAAACATAGGACTAATCTAAAATTGTCTAGTCCAACTCCTTAATCGGTATATGAAGGTACTCTTAGACTTGCAAAAGCTCTTATTCTAATTTTTCATATTTTTATTTGACACAATTTTTATCCTTGAGTATGCATTTTCTTATGTTACTCCATATCTTCAAACAGGTGGTCTATATTAATGGGTGCCCTTTTGTTTTGCGTGACTTGGAGAGGCCCTTTTCCAACCTTGAATATACGGTATGCTTTTTGTTAAGTTTACCATCAAATTTGGCATATCCTATGATTATACTTGCCTTCATTACTTAAGAAGTACAGAACGAATAACTTCATCGTCTAACATTATGTATTATAAAATATAGTCTGTCTTACATTAATTTGAATTTCGAGTGCGCTTCTTATGATTTTAGTACTTGCTTTAATGAGGAGAATAGGATGGGTTTTTTTTGTTCTTTTGTTTTTACCTTTCTCCTTTTGTTTTGTTTTGGTTTGTTATGTTTTGTTATGTTTTGTTTTGGGGTTGGGAATTAGGGAATATAGAGGCTTGCTAGTTATAATACATGCATAATGCTATTTGCATTGCAATTCACAGACATGTCAACATGTTAATTAGCCACATTTTATGTTTCCTTCTAAATCTATTGTGGCTTTACAAAAACCATCAGGGAATTAACAAGGCTAGGGTTGAACAAATGGAAGCCCGGTTAAGGGAAGATATTTTAATTGAATCTGCAAGGTATGTAACATTTTCTCACGCCTGCTTTCTATGATATCGGACGTTATTTTCACATCTGAAATAGCAGATATGGAAATAAGATCCTTCTCACTGATGAACTGCCAGATGGTCAGATGGTGGATCAATGGGAACCGGTGTCATGTCATTCTGTGAAGACACCACTAGAGGTATCTCACTGGAACAACTGTCATAGATGGGAATGAGAGAACAAGTGAAACCGACCAGTATTCTTAATATTAAACAATTTATTTATTTTATTATTCTGTAGGTTTACGAGGAATTGCAAGAACAAGGATACCTTGTTGCCTATGAACGTGTTCCTATAACTGATGAAAAGTCACCTAAGGAGCTGAATTTTGATATTTTGGTTAGTTCATTTTCTCGTCGAACGGTATATATAGCACAATTCATATCAGGCCAGGTAAAACCTGGGACCAGACCTCAATCAATTGGGTCCAAGATGATGGGAACCATGACCAACCCAACCTAAATTGGTTGGAGTGGGTTAGTTCTTGGCATGCCATGAATTGAGCTGCACTCCTAGAGTTGGTCTTTTTGGGGTCTTGTGGTCATGGAATATTATCACCTTCCTGAATTACATTTTCTGATGCGTGCGCTTTATTTACTCATTTATTCTATGTATTCAGGTTCATAAAATTTCTCAAGCTGACATAAATGCAGAAATAATTTTTAACCGTCAAATGGGACGTGGGTGAACTACAACAGGAATGGTGATTGCAAATTTGATATACCTCAACCGTATAGGAGCTTCCAGTAATCCTCTTACTCTATTCACTTAAATACTTCTTCTATTACATTGACTCATTTTGGTCATCCGAAGGAATTTTGTAGTTCTAGGACTTGTAAACTTGGTTAATCTCTGTTGCGAAGGGGCTTATTTGTGCTATTCTAATGAAAGTATGATTTTCTCATATGCTCCTTTTTCTCTCCAAACCTTCCCTTTCAAGTTTAAACAGTATATTATTTGATTTCTGATATGAGAAGATAATAATCACAAAGACAACACAATTGTAATCATCCAACTCAAACCAGCCTCCCTGAACAACCTCAACCACAAGAACAACACATATGGACAGAAAATAAGCAAGTGGTCTAAACTTTAAACATCACTTTTACACAAAACACATCAATGTGGAGATCGGCAAGAAAATGATACAAATATCAAAAGACAAATCCAAAATACACCTTTTACACTGTAATACAACTCTAAAAGCTATCCCACAGCAGCTCTCCAGTCTAATAAAATTACAAAAATGAAAGATTCTAAAGGGTTGAGAAAGAGAAGCCCCCAGGGAAACCTGACTTCTTCCCAAGAGCTCTCCTGTACGTTACCTTTGTAGTTTAAAAAAATTCTGCTAATCCTTGTTATAATTCTGACTCTCCTCTTTTGGATCTTTCTTTTTTATGTATCCGGCAATAGACTAAGCAAAATAGAGAATAACTAGAAACAAACCAGGTTTATACTGTTCGGGCTACAGAAACCATGCCTTCTTTGATTAATAATATAGTATACAATACTTTTTTCAAACCCTAGAAATAATGCCTCCTCCTCTCCTGGCTCTCTGTTTTCTCACTTGCTTTTCAGCCTTGCGGCACGCTATTTATAAGTATAGGTGTGGTTTACATGCCTATTTTCTTATTTTGTTTCCTATTCTATATAGGATAGGAAAGTACACTTTCATTCCTAATCCTTGTAGGACAAGAATCAGTGCACCTTAGCTTTCCTAATACAATCCTAAACAAAATAGGACACTAACAATTGACGAGCCAATTCCTAACATCTCCACCTTGGTTAGTCAAACCAAGTCTTGACTGTTGCACCTCAGTATGTTGTCAATATCGTGTTTAAGAATGGGAAAAACAGAACAAACACTGGAAATCGAAAACAAAATAACCAAGATAAGCAACAGTAAGAATTAACTTGGTTCAGCTTTATGTGCCTACATCCACGGGACGACAACAACAATCTTATCAATAATGAGTACAAAGGATAATCTTGCCAAGCCTGTAGGATTAAAGATTTGACGATAAACCTGAAACAAGAATAAGAAATGTTGAGAATATCGCGTTTAAGAATGGGAAGACAGAACAAATTCGGGAAATCGAAAACATAAGTAACCAAGATAAATAACACCAAGAATTAATGTGGTTTAGTGAAATGGGCCTGCATCTATGGGACAGCAACAACAATCTTTCACCTTATCAATAATGAGTACAATCAATAATCTTACCAAGTCTCTAGAATTAAGACTTGACGAAAAACCTGAAAGAACAAGAACAAGAAATACACTCTCTCTTTTCTTTTCTCTCGCACACACTTTACAATATTCTCTCACTCTAATCCCTTGAGTGGTATACAAATTATTGTTTTGCTCCCCATTCAAAACTAGTACAGTAGCCCCTTTATATAGACATAATAAAGGTCTTCCTCAGTAATTGGAATCTAGTTATGAATCCTAATTGGAATCTAGTTATGAATCTTTCTTCAATTGGGTAAACAACTCCAATTGGGTAACTAACTCCAATTGGGAAAACCACTCCAATTGGGAACAACCACTAAATCTTCCCATGCTATAATCCCTAATCCACTTAGGACAACTCATCATGGGCTAGAAAAAACCCAACAAGAAATACACTCTTATCGCTTTTCTTTTCTCTCGCACATACTTTGCCCTTCTCTCACTCTAACTCCTTGAGTGGTATACAGCTTATTGTTTTGTTCCAATTCAAAACTAGTACGATAGTCCCTTTATATAGACATAATGAAGGTCTTCTTCAATAAGGATTAATAATGCTAATTGGACTCTAGGCATGAATCCTTCTCCAATTGAGAAACCAACTCCAATTTGGTAAACAACTCCAATTGGGAAAACAACTCCAATTGGGTAACCAACTCTAATTGGGAAAATCACTCCTTAAAAACTACTTCAATTGGGAAAACAATTTGATCCTCTAAGACTATATTTTCTAATTCGCCCTTCTTGAAGCAGCTCTGGAAATCTTCAAGAACCTTCACCTTGGCAAACTTCTTCTCACCTCATTACATCTCAACTGAGGAGGTGCTCCACCAAAATCAATCAACGAGATTGATCAAGTTCAAGCAATGCTTGAATCAGCTATCCCAAAACCCTTGCATTTTCTTTTTGCTTCTCAAACATAATCCCTTGTCGGCTGTCGCCAACCTCTCAAGTAAAGCAAAATCCACTGGACTGCATCCCTATGTTGCTTTCTTGGACTTGCCATGTACTTGGAAACAACACTGATTGCTTTAGCTAGTCAGGTCGTGTGCCCACGACATTAGTATAAGGCACCTTCTCCATTGCTTGTTTCTCTTTCTCGGACTTTGAATATTGTTGCCAACTTAACCTGAAGTGAGCCGCCAAAGGAATTGAAACTACCTTGGCTTCTAGCATGTTGAACTTCTCAAGAACCTTTTGGGTATACTTGGCTTGTGATATCCAGGTCCGTCCAGCGGTCCTATATCTCTGAATTTCCATGCCAAGGATCTTTTGTGTAGCCTCTGGATCCTTCATGTCAAACTCCTCGCTCAAAATCTTCTTCAAGTCTTGAATTCTAGACTTGCCTTGAGCAACATCAACATGATCATCACATCTTAGAATACATGATAGTATACACAACAGTCATATAAGCATCTCTGAAAATTAATTTTCAGCATGAAGGAATCAAACTTCTTGTACCATTATCTTGGAGATTGCTTGAGGCATAGATGGACTTCCTAAGCTGCAATACTAGGTTCTCTTTCCCATACTCAACAAACCCTCCTGGTTCGGCCACACAAATCGTCTCCTCTAGATTGCCATGGAGAAACACAGTCTTCACATCCATCTGCTGAATCTCTATGTCATGCCATGCTACCATGAAAAGCAATATGGTAGAAGTATGCTTTACCACGGGTGAAAAGATCTCATCATAGTCCACCCCCTCGTTTTGTGAGTACTTTTTTGCCACGAGCCTTGCTTTAAATCTAACGGCATCCTGTTCATGCAATCTTGCCTTTTTACTAAAAACCCACTTGCATCCAGCTAACTTTCAATCTATGGGTTTAGGAACCAACTACTAAACGAAGTTCTTGTAAGGAGACTCCATTTCTTGTCAGTGCACTCATCCAACTATCTCGGTCATCACTTGCTATATCTTCTTGATAAGTAGTTGGATCTCCTTGACTGATGTTAAGAGCATAATTAACTTCTTGGTCAAACCCCAATCTGTCAGGTTTCTTCTTGTGTTCGAATGGGTTTGTCCAGTGCTATACATATCTGGAATTCAGGTGAATTGTGGGTTGAAGTTTGAAACTTTTGGGATGTCTAGCAGACTGGAGTGTCTACAATCTGCCCTGTTTCTTGCTCCACCTGATTCCTACTTGGTAAATGATGTCGATGCTCTTCCTCTTCCCCAAAAGCATCGGATTCAATTGGTCTCAGCTTTGTTCAGAGGCATGGTTGTCTCATCAAGGACAACATCTCGGCTGACAACTTCTTCTTGTTGATGATATCCCATAGCTTGAAACTCTTCACTCCTTTCTCAAAACCTATGAATATGCAGTGTGCAGAGTTAGGTTTGAGCTTGGACCTTTCATCACTTGGGATATGTGCATTAGCTCTGCAGTCGAACACCCACTTAATTCTTTCCTAATCCTTGTAGGACAAGAATCTGTGCACCCTAGCTTTCCTAATACAATCCTAAGCAAAATAGGACACTAACAATTGACAAGCCAATTCCTAACATTCCTCTCCAGTCCAATGACCTAGAAACAATTGCACAAAGTTCTGTATAGATGAGGAAACAATAGTTCAAAACGGTTCTGGAACTCGACATTCTTCCAAAGCCTCACGCTTTTCCCATTCCACATCCCAAAACAACAATAAGAACAAAAAGAAAGAAGGCGTTAAAATTATCTTTCCAAGGACTTCGACTTGAGGCTCTTGTCACAAAGCTGGATCCCTACCACTCTCATAAAGCCCATATTATATAAGGACAGCATATGGAAGGAATTGCTCTCTAACCGAAACCTTGAAAACCATTTTCCAAGCACCTCATAATTCGTAACCAAATTCCTCCGGTTTCCTTCACCCAAGCCATTACTTTCATCTTCTCAAATGATCTATTTTTCTCTTCTCCACTCCCTCCCACAAAACATTCCTCATTGCTCTCTTTAGCCTCTTGCTCACACTAAAACCAAAAGGTGATTATTGGTGCGTGCTTAAAACCGATTGGATTACAACCTACCCCCATGCAACAAAATTCTTTGGTCCAAGCCTCCAACCATCTAACTTCTTCTCCACATTTTTTCTGCAACAGGGTGCCAAACGCTAATTGCCTCTGTGTTGCCTTGTCATTTGAAGATAATCCCAAATGTGCTATAGGCCACCTCCACACCTCACATATCAAAACCGAGACCAACTCCATCTTTTGAGTGTTTATCCCTGCCATTGAACAGCCAACTCTATTATTATTATTTTTTTTCTGAAATACCAAAAGCTTCTCTTACCATTAGCAAATTCCTCCATTGAAAAATAAACCATTGTCTGCATTTTCTGCTGGGTTATTGTGAGAGTCCTGGGCATGTTTACAATAATTTCAGTTATTTAGGGTGTCTTTAGTTTAGAGAATTTCAAGTCCTTTATTGGTTTACATTGTGGCTTGTTATGCTTTTAAGGATTTCTTCATTTTATATTATTTTCAAATAAAATAGGTATTCCAAGAACCAATTCAATTGGAAAAATTTCTGAATCCAGTGAAATTGTTGCTGACAATTTTCCAAGCTCAGAAGATGCGATTCGTAGTGGTGAATATGCGGTCATAAGAAGCTTGATTCAGGTACTAGAGGTATTTGATATCTTATTTTGTTGCCTATTGTTGTATTAAATAGTTAAGATGTTCCTAAGTATTTTATTAATCAACAACGTGCCTTTAGGGTGGTGTTGAGGGAAAGAGACAAGTGGATAAAGTTATTGACAAGTGTGCCTCTATGCGGGTATAGTTTCAATCCTTTATTGATTGACTTTACTGAATGGCATCTCAGTACATGTTTAGGATTGTTTCAATCCTTTATAGTTTCAATCCTTTTCTGTTTAGGATTGTTATAGGGAAAGGGTGCACCAATTCTTCTCCTAAAAGGGCTAGGAAAGAATCTTAGTTTCCTGATTCAATTTAGATTAGAAATCCTAGAAGTCTATTTGGAATTGGAAAGGAAGTCTAATTTCCTATTCCACTTAGAATAGGAATTATAATCTGTAAAGGACATGTAAGCCAACCCTATATCTATAAATAGGGTGTGGCAAGGCTGTTTAACAGCAGAGAGAGAAAACAGCAAAACAGCAGAGCGTTTTGGGATTAGTTCTAGGGTTTGCATAAGTTCTATAATCTCTATTATTAATCAAAGAAGTGGTGATTTCTCTACCTAGGGAAATCACAACTGGACGTAGACATAAGTTCTGCCGAACCAGTATAATTCTTGTGTGTTTCTAAGTTTTCTATATTTGCTAGTTTAGTCTATTGCCGTTGATTACATCAAAGAACAAGGTCCAGTGTGCGGGTTTTTTCAACATATATAAGAGACAAAATGCATCAAGAGTAATCCTTAGCTACCAAATAGACAACACAGCATCCATCTTGGAGTAATTAAGTTAATTGTCGTTTTAGGTCATACTCGAGGGATTCTAGACATTTCAAGGCATTTGGCTTTTTAAGTGGTAATAATGGAAATTACAATTAAATGGGAAACAGTTTCAACCATGCATCAACTACATCGAAAGCTACAACCTTCAAACAGATACCAACTAATGATTGTTAAGCATGGATTTGTTTACTTACACTTGCCTGCATCCTTGAAAAAAAATTCCTCACAAGAATCAGAATAGTTTTTTCAAGATAATTCTCTGGAGTGAATTTGTAGATAGCGGTTTTACTCAATAATGTTTTTTGTCGGTAGTTCTTTAATTCTAAACATGCCGTAAGATTTTTCTACGAGCCCAATTGCTAGTAAGTTGTAACTTATTAATTTGGAAGCATTTCCTTAGGTGCTGCCAAAAGCACTCCCAAGCAAGTCATAGATAGTGCATAATGGTTTTGCGTAAAGGCTACACTTAATGATATGTTGAAGTGCTAACTCCGGCACTCAGAGTTACTGATTGCATGAACCAGTATATTTTTCTTTATCATATTGGATCCCATATATTTACACTGGCGTATATAAATATTTTTTATATAAGCTTTACTGGAGTATAATTATTTTTTAGCCTAATTTTATTTTTTTTTCAATCAGGTGGATGGATATCCTGTGTATAGCATGGCTACACCGACAATTCGTGGTGCCAAAGAGATGTTAGCATATTTAGGTGCCAAACCCAAAGCAGAAGGATCTGCTGCTCAAAAAGTGATTTTAACTGATCTGAGAGAAGTAGTTGTCTACATTAATGGCACACCATTTGTTCTACGGGAGTTAAACAAACCTGTTGATACACTCAAGCATGTGGGAATCACAGGCCCAGTGGTGTGCACCAATATTTTTGTTTTTTTCCTTTCATATTTCAAGTACAATTCCTAAGCTAACTGTAAACTCCAATTTCAAATTCAACGGAACATTTTGCAGGTGGAACACATGGAAGCACGACTAAAAGAAGATATACTATCTGAGGTCAGGCAGTCTGGTGGCCGTATGCTTTTACACCGTGAAGAATATAGCCCAGCTTTGAACCAGTTCAGTGTCATAGGATACTTAGAAAGCATCTTTGCAGATGATGTGAAGACACCAGCTGAAGTATATACCGCTTTGAAAGATGAGGGTTATAATTTTGCATACAGGAGAATACCATTAACTAGAGAAAGAGAGGCTTCATCTTCTGATGTGGATGCAATTCAATACTGCATAGATGAGTAAGTATCCGCACTTTGTATGATTCCCATCTGTAACTGGCGATACCACTAAAGATATATTTTGTTAAAACTAACAAAAATTATATCAAACAATGAAAATTGTGAAATAAAATTTATAGATGTAAATTAGCAAGTACTCTTGACACCATTATTTCTTTTGGGAATTATATATTTGCCCTCCATTACAATAACAAAGTTGTGTACTGTGTTAGAATCTCAGAGACTATGATCTCTGTGGTAAGGAATGAATCGAAAATGGTGATGATTATTTCTGGAAAAATCTCAGAGAGGTGCAAAGAGAAGGTTCTCACAGAAAGTTGCTTTCATTCATTCACTCTCTCACCTCACACAAAACGTGCGAGAGGTATATTACCGTTAGAGATAGAGAGATTCTCTCTCTATAATACAAAACTCAAATCCAACCATTCATGCAATCTACCCTATAAGATAGTTACATGTGTCAACACAAATCACCAACTCTAAGATTACATCTTAGCTGTCCAATTGGAATGTAATCCAATGGCTCACATTTAAATCTGTAAACTGAAACTAAATACAAATTATTCAGCTAAAAGCACTTATATTTCAACATACTGTAGGGCTTTGTCCTCATCATGATACCACAAACATGTTACAGGAGTTTATTTATATTTTTCTAAGTGAAAAACACTCAGAGGTCTTATAGTAATACACCACTTCTGGCATCTGGATATACTTCCAATTTTTGCTCTCTTTTTGTTTTTTACTATTGAGGTTCTTTGGTATAAATCATTATTGCGGTTCATGAGTTTTGTAAAAAGCAGAATTTGATTCATCCCTTGCTTTGCTGTTCAATTTGTGAATTTATTTATGAATTTAATAATTCTAAATTCAGTAAAATTAAGTTTTATCCATAGTTCTGCAGGGTGTTACCTTTTCGTATCGCACACAAGGTTTGGAGGAGTTGCATATGCAATGGCTATTATTTGTATCAGAACTGGTGCAGAAACAAACTCCCTACCAAAGGATCCACAACCATTGGTTAGAATGAACCTGTTGTGTAACCTAAAGAGGATTTGCCTTCTCGAGCTTCTGATGAAGAAGCTCTGGGGATGGGTGACTACCGAGACATACTAAGCCTTACAAGAGTTCTTGTATACGGTCCTAAGAGCAAAGCAGACGTTGACATTGTTATAGAAAGGTATTTATATATTAAAAAGTCCACGGAGAATTCTCTCCTTATGGTGCTTCCTACTTGTCTAAGCATCAGGTGATGTCTTGAAATGTAAAAGCAGGTCTACGAATTAGTAGTGTAGAAAATTGGAGGGTTGGCTGTGCCATATAAGCAGATAACCCATGTCTCTGTCAACTTAAAAAAGAAAAATTGTGCTTCTATGCTTGACAGATTGTGTTTCATTTGTTTAATCATGCACTTTCTCGATTTTAGTTTATTTTATATTTGCGCGGAGTTAATGACCCTTAACATACCTTCAGGTGCTAGTAATTGGCTCTTATTGTTGATGTTTCTGACTTTGTTTCTTCAATTAAAAGGTGTGCAGGTGCGGGACATCTGCGAGATGACATTCTTTATTATAGTAAGGAACTCAAGAAGTTCCCTGATGCTGAGGATGAGCAACGAGCATATCTCATGGACATGGGGATCAAAGCGTTAAGGTAGGTTGAAGTAGCATTGTCCTCCTTTTCTTTTAATTTATTACAAATGAATGTTCGCAGAAGCGAAAATTAGATTGTTTAGCAGAAGTGAAAACAAAGAAGACGTAGATTAAAACAACAATAAAGGATAACTGGAATCACTCCAGGGGCCTCCAACCCGTTCTTCGCCTCTCACCAAAACAATCCCACTGCTTTCTATTCATAAACTCTTAATTGTTTGTTAATCTGAACTACAAGGGATCTTTATAAAGCCTTAAACCTAATGGACACGTGAAAGTAAACCTATTTTAGGAAAGAAATCCTAATCAAAATAGAATAGAAACTAAATCGAATCCTACTCAAACTGAAAAGAATCTTAATAAAGAAGGAAGTCCAAAGACTAAAACCCTGGATATTAAAATACTAAAAACCCTAAAGAGTAAAAGATTAAAACAACCATTGATTTAAGCCTGCACTTTGGTTCCGCATTTTTCTCCCCCGCCTGAAAAATCGACTCCGTCGAGTTTGGTGAGGAGCTTGAACCCTAGCCGTTATCAAACGGATATTTCTTGACGTCAGGGACATGAAGATTGTATAGGACTCTAGTTTCTGTTTTGCCAACTATGTGTGACAGTAGCAAAAAATAATTCATGAGAAATTGTTGTTTATTTACGGAGAATATTGCAAACTGCAAATAGATATTTAGCATGACCAAATTAACTTTCTTTTCAATGGAAGAAACTGAAAGACAAGCAGTGGTACATCTTTAACTTCAACATCCCCAAAAGTTTGTCGCACGACAAGAGGAACATAGGGAACAATGTCGCTGGAATCCTGAGGACAAGGAATGTCACTCGCTGGAAGAATTAAATCTTGCTTATCCAATAGACTAGATGTCTTCTCCATTGTAGACTGTTCAAATGGAATTAAAGGTTGCACTTCCATATTGTTGGTTGAATCAGTACCTTCTTGAAGACTAAAAACAACCATTGATTTCAATGTTTTAAAAGACGAAGGTGTAGGGGAGGCGTTTCATAAATAGACTAGATGTCTTCTCCATTGTAGATTGTTCAAATGGAATTAAAGGTTGCACTTCCATATTGTTGGTTGAATCAGTACCTTCTTGAAGGCTAAAAACAACCATTGATTTCAATGTTCTAAAAGGCGAAGGCGTAGGTGAGGCGTTTCATGAATAGCCCCGCGTGGCAAAAACCTTGAGGCGTGAGGCGAAGCCTTACAAGACCTAAATAATCGGGGACTGATGTGGGTATAATTGGGGACTACTGTGGGTTAATAAAAAATAATTGGGCACTGCTGAGGGTTATAACAAAATATAGACTTGGGCAAAATGACGTTGTTTGGGCCAAGTCATATAAAAAACATTTAAAGACTTGACCAAAACGACGACGTTTTGGACCAAGTCTTTAAAAAAATAAATTCTTCGTCGTCTTCGTGAAGACGCCGCTGCACTACAACAGTCATAAACCAGAGGACATAGCCTTTTGACTTCGATGATCTCTGATGGATTTGGGAACGCTAGGTCAACCAACTTAAGGTGTGCCTCGACCATGTCTAGGTGAGTTTTCGCCTACTCCCACAGGGCAGAAGCGTTATCATTCCTGCCCCGCCTCTGAAGCAGCTTAGGCGTGCCTTGGGGTGTGTTTTAAAACACTGATTGATTTAGGAAAGCCTGCACTTTGGTTCTGCATTACTTCCACCTTTAGATAAGAAGGTTTAGCCTATGTCAAAACTTTTGATTGGATAAATATATTAAACTCTGACGATGTCAAGCCTATGTAGCATGTGAGCTGGTGTTGTGTTGCTTTCTCGCAATTAAGAAGTTATCTTATTCACTTTGGTTTAGGTTTTTTTTTTGTTTGAAAGAAGAAACAAATTTTTGTTGCAAAAAAAAAAAAAAAATACAAAAGCGGACAAGAAGTCCGCGAAGGCACAAACAAAACAAGATAAAAATCACCATCACCCAGACATTTAGAAACTATAAAAACAACACAAGACTAACGAATAGCCACATTCCAGTTTCGCCAAATTTCTGAAAAAGAGAAATCTCTAAATTCTGAAGTAACCGCAGCCCACAGAGATGACCACCGAACATTATCCCACATATCCTCCCTTCTACTGCCTTCGTTGTCCTAAAAAAATCTGCTTGTTTCTTTCCATCCAAATGACCCCAAAAATAGCTGAAACTATACACCCCGTAAGACCTTTATTTTCTTCCCCTTTCCTGATAATTTATGTTCCTCTACCATAAGAGAATAACAATGCCTGGGTAAAACCCAACTAATACTGAACTCCTTAAACAACTTCAACCAGAAATTTAAACCCATCGGACAGGGAAGAAATAGGTGGTCAACATACTCTGAACTTTTCTTGCATAAAATGCACCAATCAGGCTATAGACATGAGCTAGGTTGCCGTTTTTGGAGCATGTCACAAGTGTTAATTTACTAACCAAGTAAAGACCTTCACTTTATTAGGAACTTTAGATTTCCAAACCAGGCCATAAGCCTAAAATACCCTATCAGCACAGCTTTTGAGAAGATAATCGCAGTAAAATTTAACAGAGAAGCTTCCTGAAGAGTAAAGTATCCAATTTCTTGCATCAACCCTTGAGGGGTGAATGCTAACGCGATCCAAACTTGTTAGGAAAGATGACAATTCGTTTAATTCCACGTCACGCAAATTCCTTCGAATCACAAAGTCCTAATTCAAAGAATGTTCAGCAAAACTAGCCACATTAGAAATACTCTGTTATGAAATCTAGATAAGTTGAACAACCTAGGAAATTAGACTTGTAAAGATCTTTAGCCCAGCCAAATGTCTTCCCAAAATCTAGTTTGTGTTGAGAATGAGTCTCACATTGATGTGTGAGAAATGACCTTGCATGGGCTTATAAGAAGTTGGGCTACTTCCCATATTGCCAATCGGTTTTATGGTGGAACCTTAACTTTCTTCATGGTATCAGAGTAGGTTGTCCCACGTGTGAAGCCAAAAGGCCACATGTGCTCCACGTCACCCCGTTGTGTTGTCCGCATGTTAGACTCGAAAATTCGCCACATGTGAGGGGGCATGTTGAGAATGAGTCCCACATTGATGTGGAAGAGGGGACCTTGCATGGACTTATAAGAAGTTGGGCTACTTCCCATATTGCCAATTGGTTTTATAGTAGAACCTTAACTTTCTTCAATTCGATCTACTTTACCAAGAACAAAATGGCAGAAAAGAACTATACCCTTGGGTAATATCCTTCCAAGACTTCTACTTGTCCAAACCGAACTATCTTGGAGTTCTAACCATTTTCACTTTATGCCAGATGGAATCACCTTCGACTGGAAAACGCCATAACCATTTAGCTGACAAAACAACGGGGTGACGTGGAGCACATGTGGTGATCTTACCAATAGATTGCCAATACCTAAACCTCCTTCCTCTTCCGGTTTTGAAAATGTATCCCAATTAATGAGGTGATCTTTCTTATCTTCACCAACACCAACCCATAAGAATTTCCGCATTAAGCTTTCCAGATTCCTGACTACTCCTTTAGGAATCTTGAACAAAGATAGAAAATAAATTGGTAAACCTCCTAACATCAATTGAACTAAAGTTAATCTTTCCCCTCTTGAAAGAAAGGCACACTTCCAGCTTTGCAATCTTTTTTGGACTTTTTCCACAATCGGGTTCCCGACGGAGATATTTCTGGGATTACGTCCTAAAGCAAGACCCAAATACTTGATAGGCCAAGAGCCCACTTTGCATCCCCACAAACCAGCCAATCTCTCTAATTTTTCTTCCTCCGTTTGAGCCTAATTATTTGGTCTTATTTACAATGCAATACCCCTTAATTATTCTCTCTAGTCTTCTTTTTGGGCTTCGGTCTTGTCACAGTTCAGGGATTATTCACTTTCGACTATCTTGCTAGACTGGGAGGCAGCGGATGATGATTTCTGCTAGTTCCCCTTGTATCTGGCTTCTGGTTGTTCACTGATTGCAAATATTTTTTTAATAAAATTGTTCCTTTTCAAAATACAAAAGAAAGAAGGAAAGTTAAAACCTTTTATCATAAGCAATTGATTTTCTCTGAATCATGGATATAAGTTGCTGTCGGAAAAAAGGGAGAAACTGCGTGCATACTACTAAATGTAAATGAATTAACTCTGCGTGTGTGTATTTCTTGTAATGTATTGAGTCTTGACTATAGCATGTATTTCTTGTATTGTATTGGGTGAGTCGGATATCCAATTGCCTCGATTTGAATTATTCAGAGGATGCCTTCTTGACTACAGGTCCTCCATTTTTCATCTTACTTTTGAAACCCACAAAACATGCATTTGTACTGCATTGATCACATAAATGAATTCTTTACATGGATATGTTCAACAAGCAATAACGTTTTTGTTGAGTTCTTGATTCATTTTTCTGTTATATTTAACCCTCTCCTTCCATCTGCAGGCGGTACTTTTTCCTTATAACATTTAGGTCCTACCTCTACTGCACTTCTGTGGCTGATATAAAATTCACATCATGGATGTACGCGGGGCCTGAACTAGGACATCTATGTAATAACCTTAGGGTCGAAAAATGATATCATTAGTGTAAAATAAAGTTATGTACAGTTGGCAGTACGATAAAACGATCTGGCATTCAGTTTCCGCCTTAAGCTCTGAATGCTGGACAAATTAAGAGGTTATTTCAGTTATGTACGTGTAGGAACTAAGGATAACGAAAATCCCTGACTCAAGGGAGAAGGGAGCGGTTAGAACTCGGGAATGGGTTCTATGCCAGTTTTTGTAGTATATATAAAGATGAAGCTCTAAACTTTTCGGGATTTGATTTTTGCAACAGGATGCTTATATTGAGGCTAATGTGAGTATCATGTATATATGTGAAATTATTATCTCATGAAATTTGAATGCCTAATGCCATTGGTATGTGGACAGTCGAATGATTTATTAGGTTATTTGTGATCAAAGAAGACTGCAATTGCAACATTATTAGTTTTTTTAACGGATGTTTTACATTTTATCGAATTCATAAGTTGAGGTATGACATTACAATATTTAAAACATGAGGTATGAAATTGTGGATCGATCCATAGTTAAGATAGTTTTATATAATTTACCATAATTAGAAGCACAAGTAAAAATTAAGGATGATCGGTTAGATTGCTCCATTGGATTGTACACAAGACATTCGAAAGGAAATTCATAATTATTTTTTTTTTCTTTGAAAAGGGAGACGATTAGTGGCAAACTACGGTTATCCAACCTTTTGAAACTGGAGGAGACTAGTTGGGAATTGCACTTTACCCATGGTCATGATTAAGCAAATTCATAGTTTACAAAGTATCGAACTTAGGACCTCTCCTTTTTTTTCTTCAGCAAGTTGTTCGCACTTTTCCACTAAGCCACTTGTCGTAGTTCGAAATTCATAATTCTTTAAAATTAGTTCATTTTCTTTGAGATTTACAAGGCCAAGTGAAACTCGGAGACAGATTATAATTACAAGAAATTGTTCCTTTCCAATAAATCTAATCCAAGGATGGATAACTATATACTTATAAGAATAATATTATTGAGGAGCAGTAGTGTTGTGGTGAGTTAGTTTGAGTGCTTCTTGTCGGATGCATGCAAGGTTTAATTTGATCTCCTTACAAAGTCTACCCTCAACAAGGCGAACGGGCAGCCACATCTTTGGCCTTACATCAACCATGTAGGAGAGACTTGTGTGCACTTGCACTTGCTGCTGCTGCTGTAATTGCATCATTAATTTTCCTAATTAGGGCCGGCATTGACAGGCTTGAGCGCTCCTGTATATTACATATAATATATGTATATGTGTATCTATAGATAGTGAGTTAAGTTGGTACCTGCGGGTGTGGGTGTTGCTGTTGTAGAGACCATTTTCCTTGAAAGATTTCGAAGTCGCCTTCAACCATGTTAAATCGGATATCACGCTTGTGACCGAAATTATTAGGAAGGGTCTCAAGTGGAGTCTCGTAACAATCTACGATCCCTTTAGCATTGAATTTCAGCCCCAACGCCAACTTCTGCTCCCCAATCTGTTACTAATTCATTCATTCATTCATTCAGATAACATATTTAATTTGATCTCCTTAACTGTAAAGCACCAGATTCTCATGCCCTGCTATTAGACAAATGAGAGAGAGAGAGAGAGAGAGAGAGAGAGACCTGCAAAAGCCGAGCATAGCCGTCCGTCTTATCGAGCACTCGGCAGACGGCGAGTCCCGGAATGAAGTCGGCCAATCTCTCGTAATCAGTCAATAGATTCCAGACGGTGTTGAGTGGGGCTTCTATCCCAATTTCCAACCGGATCCTCCGACAGTTGTTTCCCGTCTTCTCTATCTCTATTTCTATATCTATATCAAGATCAATATCTTCGCCTATGGCTACCGATTCTGTAGCATCGTCATCACCATCATCCTGGGACAAGATGGACGAATCGACCTTGTTTGAAGATGAGCACTGCACCTGCACATGAGGGCTGCTACTGAATTGAGAGACGGCGGTGAAAAGGTTTGGATTTCTAAAAATAGAAAAAGAAAAATCACTCGCTGTCGCTGCAAGGTTAGGGCTTTTTTGTGGTACCAGCAGCAATGCTTTTGGAGTTGTTGCAGTTGTAGTTGCAGCAGTGGGACAAGGGATATGGAGCAGAGTTGTGTAACTACTAGGACTTGGAGCTTGCATTTTCATTCATTCACTATCACTCACTCACACAAATGAAGCCTTATTCTTATCTCAATCATCAATATCTTCTCTATTTCTCTTATTTTATTGTTTGTCCTCTTTCTACTTGTAGTTGCAAATTGGGGATGTAAGTTGGAGAGGAGTATTTATCAAATATAGTCAAAAATTAATCTTAATTTCAAAAATGTCATTTTTTATAAAAACCTTCAAATATATCTAAAATCTTACTTAAATAGACACAAATACCTTCAAATTTAACAATTAAATAAATTAAAGGTTTTTTAGCTATTGTCGCCTCAAGCTCCGGTCCAACTTCACATTTGCTTCTACACCCCAAAACCACAACCCTATCTCCTTTGACCCCCACATCACCGACATTGAGAGTTGTTGTGGTTATCGCAAGTGGGAGCAACAGAATTTCAATCATGCCTTCAACGCCTTTTTTCTTACTAATATCATTTTGAGCTTTAAATATAAAAATAGTTTTTAAAGTTAATCCACATGTCGTTATATGATTGTATTTGTGAGACCCACGTAATGCCACATCATCACACTAACAGAGCAATTGACAAATTTTTCACGAAAAAAGTGAAATGATCACGATGGGCAAATTCAAGGAAATAATAAAATGATTCACGATAGACAAATTCAAGAACACTACTATTGATTATCATTAATTTGTTAAGGACCAGATTAAGAAATTATGTTAATGTCACGAATCATTTTGGCTAAAAAGTCTTTAATTTATTTTATTGTTAAATTTGAGGGCATTTGTGTCTATTTAGATGGAAATTTAGATATATTTGAAAGATTTTATAAAAAGTGACATTTTTTAAATTAAGGGTTAATTTTTGGCTATATTTGATAAATACTCGTTTGTTGAGAGTTGGTTATCTTAGTTATCAGCAATGTTTGAAATATCTTGAATATGTTCGATATTTTCACGGGAATATCCAAAAATTTAGGGAATGATATATAGAAAGGAGGTAAAGTGTACATTTCACCCCATATCCCCAATATTTCTGGAAATCAGTCAATTTCCTCAATATTTTATGCATACTTGCAGAAATTTCGGCAAAAAATGTACAGACTAGTGGTCAAGTTTTCCTCTTCATTTCTTTTTCACGTTTTCTTTTATTATTTGTCCTCTTTCTACTTGCGTAGTAGCATATAGGGGATGTAAGTTGGAGAGCCACTTCTCTTAGTTATCGGGTGATCAATTTTTCATACCTACCTTTAGATTTGACTAGCAATGGTGTCAGCGCAATAATACAGGTTTAAAATTGTACATACCTCATAATTTGTTCAAGTTGGATGCTTAGAATATCAAAAGCGACATCGTTTTTTCATAAGACATTGGAAAAATCACATCAGAACCTGTAATGAAACAACATTTGAATCAGATGCCATGAAACCATGAAGAACAAAAATTGTAAAAAAGAAGTTGAGCATAATAACCCTTTAGAAAAATCTATTAACCAATAATGGAAAATCATTTAGAATAGAAATGACTAAGGAAGAAATGCGGAAACAAATCAGTAACATAAGTTGTATAGCATTTGGATGAACTATAAGTTGAAATTATACGGCAGGAATTAATCTCTATTATTTCACAAGTATAAGATATATACATCCAATCCTAATTACACAAGGAAACATAAAATGACACAATCTGTAACCTTCCTAAAAGAAAACCCATATAATATCTACATAATCTTTACATACCCTTTATAACTCATGCTAACACTCTCCTTCAAGTTGGTACATAGATATCACACATGCCCAACTTGATGAGTGAGTCATTAAACGTTCTACTACATACTGCATGAGTAAGGACATCAGCAAGTTGTTCCATGGAAGTGACAAATGGAAGAGATACAATTTTTCTTTCGAGTTTTTCCTTGATAAAATGTCTGTCAACCTCCACGTTCTTCGTCCTATCATGTTGTACTAGATTGTCCACTATATCCCTTGCAGACTTGTTATCACAACATAACTTCATAGTATCCTTTGGTTTGAACCCAAGTCCCCAAAGAAGCTTACACAACCAAAGAATCTCACAAATTCCTTGCACCATACCTCTGTACTCAGCTTCAGCTGATGATCGTGAGACCACTTTCTGTTTCTTAATACGCCACGTAACTAAATTACCTCCAACAAAAGTAAAGTATCCAGATGTCGATCGCCTATCAGTTACATCACTAGCCCAATCTGCATCAGTAAAACCTTCAATTCTCAGATGTCCGTGTCTCCCATATATTCCTTTTCCCAGTGCGGACTTCAAATATGCTAAAATATGCATGACTGCAGCCATATGGTCTGCACTTGGTGAGTGCATAAACTGACTCACAACACTTACAGCATAGGCAATGTGAGGATGAGTATGAGCCAAATAAATCAATCTTCCTACAAGTCTTTGATATCTGCCTTTATCAACCGGTACCTGATCCGAATATATGCCCAGATAATGTTTCTTAACAATAGGAGTGTCTACCAGTTTACACCCTAGCATACCAGTTTCCTTCAACAAATCCAACACATATATACGCTGAGACAAGAAAATACCTCTGGATGAACGGGCAACTTTAACTCCCAGAAAATATTTTAAGTCTCCCAAGTTCTTCATTTTGAATTCTGCCATAAGGTTTATCTGCAACCGTAATATTTCATCAAAATCATCCCCTATAATAATAATGTAATCTATATAGAAAATCAACGCATTTACTTTATTCAATTTACCCTTCACAAACAGCGTATGGTCGGAATGACTCTGACAATATCCATTCTTCTTCATGGCTTAAGTGAACCTGTCAAACCATACACAAGGTGACTGCTTAAGTCCATAAAGTGACTTACACAATTGACAAACCCCTGTCTTCCTACCTGCATCATATCCAGGAGGAAAAATCATACATACTTCTTCCTCCAAACTTCCATGAAGGAAAGCATTCTTCACATCAAACTGTTTTAGTGGCCAATCCATGTTTGCAGCTAAAGAAATAAGAACACATATCGTATTCATCTTAGCTACTAGAGAAAGTCTCCTGATAGTCTACACTATACGTTTGAGTATACCTTTTTGCTACCAACCTTGCTTTGTATCTGTCTATGGATCCGTCAGCCTTGTATTTAATTGTAAACACCCAGCGGCATCCAACAGGCTTCTTCCCGTTAGGTAGTTTAACTACTTCCCAGGTTTTATTTTTATGTAGAGCCATCATTTCTTCATCCATTGCTTTCACCCACTTTGGATCTTTCAGAGCTTCCTCCACTTAAGTTGGAACTTTAATGGACTCTATGTTATTTACCAGAGCCTTGCGTTCAGGTGCAAGGTTCTTGCAGGATACATAGTTGGCAATTAGATACTTCACTTTCCTTTCCAGAGAAAACATGTCAGGAGGCACACCTCGATTTTGTCTTGGTGGCAACTTATATGCACTTACAATATTATTTGGATTAGTTGTATAAACATCTATTGTACTTACATCAGGTATATTCAGAGAAGATGCATTGGACGATACTGTGGAACTAAAGAGAGGGGATAATACGCTACTAAACTCAGCACTGGGTTCGGTAGCAACAAGTTGTTCTTATTCAATACTGGGTTCGGTAGGAGCTTGCAGAACCTAATTATTCTCCTCGGCAGCACTGACTTGCTGAACCTGCTCACTATTCTCGGCAATCATAACATGTTGCCTATCCTTGCTATACACGGCACTAAGTGCTGTTATGATGCTCGCCCTTCCTCCGACATCACCAATCTCGGGTTTACTACCCATATCTCCCTCTAAATCACAATCCAACCAACCAAGATCACCCACATTTTCACTCTCCCCCTGGTGATCTAAAGTGGACCGGGTAGAAGCATAAAAATATTCGGATTCTGAAAATGTAACATCCATAGTCGTATACATATGGCAGGTTCCAAGATGATAACATTTATATCCTTATTGTTGAGGGGAAAAACCAACAAAGACACACCGAAGTGCACAGCGATCAAGCTTACTACGATGAATTTTTTGGATATGAACATACGCCACACAACCAAACACACGAAGGGTGAAAGTATTTGTGGACACCACGAGGGCATGTTTACTGAGCACCTGAAGTGGTGTTTGAAATCCCACAACCCTTGATGGCACACGGTTTATGATATAGACAGCATAAGTGACAGCTTCAGGCCACAACCGCTGAGGAACGGAGGCACATATGATCGATGCACGAGCAGTTTCTAAGATATGACGATTTTTCCTCTCAGCAACCCCATTTTGTTGTGGAGTGTGAGAGCACGTCGTTTCGTGGAGAATCCCATGAGCACAAAGAAATTGAGACAACTTAAAATTAATATATTCACCTCCATTATCAAAGCGGAGAACTTTAATAATAGAGCAATATTGTGTCTGAATCCTCTGAGAGAAAGACTAAAATACCATAGTAACATCACTCTTATTTTTAATCACATATAACCAGGTCATACGGGTGCAATCATCAACGAATGTAACAAATCATTTAACTCCAGAAGCCGTACTTACAGGGGAGGGACCCCAAACATCAGAATGCACGAGATCAAACGGAAACAAACTTTTATTCAAACTTGGAGGAAACGAAACACGATGGCTTTTAGCAAGAATACATACTTCACAATGTAAGTCTAATTCATTTATTCCATGAAATAAACAAAGCAACATACGCCTTAAATAACCAAAAGAGGTATGGCCCAAACGGCGATGCAACATCCATACGTCTTTTAAATTACTAGCAATGGACGTCCGAACCGCAACAGCTCTTCTCGGAACGACATCATCCACATAATACAACCCTTCTCTCTTAGTGCCACACCCAATTATCTCCTTGGTCTGAATATCCTAAAGCAGACAAAAAAATGGATACATTAATACAACACAATCCAATTGTTCTGTAACTTGCAGTATAAATAGTAGGTGATGAGACAATGACGGAACAAATAAGTAGTGATGCAAAGAGAGAGATGGTGTAAGACACACGGTGCCTGCTCCAGTAACAGAAGCAATAGTACCATTAGCAATCTCCACACATGTTCTACGAGGCGTTGTTATATACTGA